TTAGCTGTAGGGATCTGGCTCTTAGCTGTAGGGATCTGGCTCTTAGCTGTAGGGATCTGGCTCTTAGCTGTAGGGATCTGGCTCTTAGCTGTAGGGATCTGGCTCGTAGCTGTAGGGATCTGGCTCGTAGCTGTAGGGATCTGGCTTCTTACCTGTAGGGATCTGGCTTCTTACCAGGTAGACGCTGCAATGGTTGATGTCGTCCACAGAGAAGAGAACGGCGTCCCGGATGAAGACGGAGGCGGCGCGCAGGATGAAGGAGAAGAAGAGGTGCATGTGGATGTAATTGCGGGTACAGCGCAGCCTCCTGCCCACCGAGAGACAACAGAACACACGGGTCACGTCTGGCAGAACCATGTTCAGGATTCTTATACTCGGCGTTGCGTCATGTGGTCTCATTATGTGTTGTGCTGGTTTGGGTTGTGTATCATTGTGTCATGTTGGGTTCTGTTGTGTTAGGTTGTGTTGGGTAGTGTTGTGTCGGGTTCTGTTGGGTTGCGTTAGGTCGTGTTGGGTTCTGTTGGGTAGTGTTGTGTTCTGTTGGGTTGTGTTGGGTAGTGTTGGGTTGGGTTGTGTTCTGTTGGGTAGTGTTGTGTCGGGTTCTGTTGGGTTGTGTTGTGTTAGGTTGTGTTGGGTTCTGTTGGGTAGTGTCGTGTTGGGTTCTGTTGGGTTTTGTTGGGTTCTGTTGGGTAGTGTTGTGTTCTGTTGGTTTTTGTTGCGTTCTGTTGGGTAGTGTTGTGTTCTGTTGTGTCAGGTTGGTTTGGGTTATGTTGTGTTGGGTTTTGTTGGGTAGTGTTGTGTTGGGTTCTGTTGTGTCAGGTTGGTTTGGGTTATGTTGTGTTGGGTTTTGTTGGGTAGTGTTGTGTTGGGTTGGGTTGTGTTAGGTTGTGTTGAGTTTTGTTGGGTAGTGTCAGGTTGGGTTGGGTTATGTTGTGTTGGGTTGTGTTGGGTAGTGTTGGGTAGTGTTGTGTTGTGTTGGGTTGTGTTGTGTTAGGTTGTGTTGGGTTTTGTTGGGTAGTGTCAGGTTGGGTTGGGTTATGTTGTGTTGGGTTTTGTTGGGTAGTGTTGTGTTGGGTTGGGTTATGTTGTGTTGGGTTTTGTTGGGTAGTGTTGTGTTGGGTTCTGTTGTGTTAGGTTGTGTTGGGTTTTGTTGGGTAGTGTCAGGTTGTGTTGGGTTATGTTGTGTTGGGTTGTGTTGGGTAGTGTTGTGTTGGGTTCTGTTGTGTTAGGTTGTGTTGGGTTTTGTTATGTTGGGTTCTGTTGGGTTCTGTTATGTTGGGTTCTGTTGGGTTCTGTTATGTTGGGTTCTGTTGGGTTGGGTTGTGTTGGGTTTTGTTGGGTAGTGTCAGGTTGGGTCGTGTTGTGTGGTGTTCTGTTAGGTTCTGTAGGGTTCTGTCGGGTCGTGTCATGCGGTCTCACGTTGCGTTGGATGTTTGGGGTCTCCTCACTCACCGGAATGACAGCAGGATGACGATGGCCATGGACAGGGACGCCAGAGACATGCCGTACCCCACCGTGTACAGGGTCTTCAGGTGCATGTAGTAATGTTGCTATAAAACACAGTTCAGGGGTCAGAGGTCAGAGGTCACGTCTCTTTCACACATCTAATACAACGGTACAATTGTGTGTGCAGCACTGGGGTCCCCAGTTCATCCCACTGAGGTCACTATCTGCATGGAGTTTGCATGTCCTCCCCATGCTTGTGTGGGTCTCCTCCCACACTCCAAAGACGTGCTGGAAGGGTAATTGGCTCCGGTCTACATTGGCCCTCCTATGTATGTGAGATGGGGCCCTGAGATTGTCAGCTCCTCTGGGGCGGGGACTGATGTGTAGACTGTCAGATCCTCTGGGGCGGGGACTGATGTGTAGATGGTCAGATCCTCGGGGGCGGGGACTGATGTGTAGATTGTCAGCTCCTCAGGGGCGGGGACTGATGTGTAGACTGTCAGATCCTCCGGGGCGGGGACTGATGTGTAGATGGTCAGCTCCTCGGGGGCGGGGACTGATGTGTAGATGGTCAGATCCTCGGGGGCGGGGACTGATGTGTAGATTGTCAGCTCCTCAGGGGCGGGGACTGATGTGTAGACTGTCAGATCCTCCGGGGCGGGGACTGATGTGTAGATGGTCAGCTCCTCGGGGGCGGGGACTGATGTGTAGA